TGAGGGAAAGCTCTGTACCTTCCTTATTTGGTCACTGTAGCACTCTTACGGAGGGAAAGCTTTACAGGTTTATACTTGCCTCTTTGGGTGAGTAATGATGGACAAGCCAGAAAAAGCACAGCTGCACTTCTGAAGTGCTGGTCATTGAAACAGACATAATCTCGGAAACGAACCAAATTTAATCTGGAAGTGAGAGCAGGACAATAAAAATGGAGTCAGTATTTGGATTAAGTCACTATTCAGACTAAAATAGTTTATTAGATTTTAAACACTGTCCTGAATATAAACAATGCATTTAATGAGATTAAAGCCAGATTCAAGTGTTTTAGTATGTTTAAAGAGAAAAAAAACAAGTGTTTAAGTACTGTAGTAGATAAATAGGCCGTTTTTAAGTTATGTCTTTTGTCTTTGTTAACAATGATGTTTGTTTGGTTTAGTTTAATTTCCCCTTTGTTGAGACCTACACTGCTCAGGAAGTGAAAATCCAGCCAATACTTAAGAGTGGATATGAAACTGAAGACCACATGCCTGAGGAAGGAAATTACCCTTGGAATATAGACGGAGATTTAATGGAAGGAGCATTAGAAGTTCATGTTCGGTAAGGCTAAGCATAGCAATGCTGAACCCATCACATCTGGTGAGCCAGTCTGCAGGACTAGCCAGCACCTGAAAATGATTAATGGGCAGTTAAGCTTTACTTACACCTAGTTAAATATACTTGTATGCAAGAGATAATAGTTGCAATCCTATTATTTTTCCTGTTACAAGGCAGAACCAAACGTGACATTTTGCATATCTGTCTCTGTGTATCAAATTAGTGTGTTAATAAAGTGAGAAAACAAATGTCTAGCACCCATAGGGACCTCTGTCCTGCAAAGTATCTGTGGATAACTTTATTGTCCAAGACAGGATAGGAATTTTTTGTTTTGTTTTTTGTCTGTTTTTTCAGTTTGAGGCTCTAAATATTGCAAGACAAATTTTTGCATTGTGTCCTATGGGATTTTTTTGTTATCAAGCAGAGTTTTTTTATTTTTTTTTAAATGGCTGCTTAAGCGACTGTTACAATTTTGCTACAGTATTCCATGTTTGTAAATACTGAAAAAGGAGAACTACACATGTAAGTGTTCATATTTAGTGCTGTCCATTCTGTCATCACTTTTAATCCTGTGGCATAGAACGCAGTACTAACTTTCTTGATCAACATGAGCTAAATTTATTCTTCAGGAGAAAAAATACATCACATTAGGCAGTGGGGGGCACTTAAATTGAAAAGGAGGCTTCTATGAAAAAACAGGTCAAGACTAATTATCTACCAGGCAGAAGGCAGGGGAAATTTGCACTCAGGGGTGTTCAACTTCTAAGCCACAGGCCACACAAACACCCCTCCCCCCACACACCCCTGCTGCTCTGTGTGGGCAACTCCCTTCCCCTCTCCACTGCACTCCCTCACTTGTGCACTGTGCAGGTACGATTCCTCCTTTCCCACTGCAGTGTGCAACCTCATGAGTACCCTCCCCCCACTATTGCCTTGTGCAAGTGTGATCTCGCTTTCCCCCCCTGCATGTGGCCTGGGCTCACCCTCAGCCCCCTGAGCTGTACTGCACTGCTTGGCCCTTGGGGCAGGGGCAAGAAGTGGCAGCCAGAGGAAGGATGGGGAGCCTGGAGGATCTGGCTATTTGGTTACAACCAAAGTGATAAGAGAGCAGTGGCCAGTTGAGCCCAGGGGCTGCAACTTAACCCAGGTGGCCTGCAAGCCACTGGCTGGACAGCCCTTGACTAACTAAAGGCATAAGTTTTCATAAGTAGCAGCCTACTTCATCAGATACAAGAAGGGACTGCAGAAAACAGAGGTTCTAAGTAGAAGCAGTGATTTTAACTACAAAAGGTAGAGAAAGAGGAGCAAAAAGAAGAGACCTCTGCTGAGAGTAGAAAGGTGAGTAGGACAGAAAAAAACAATTAACCTGTTGTTAACACTCTTCCTTCCTTCCTATGCATCTCTGATTAGTCTGCAAAGTGCAAATCTAACTTGCCTTCTGCCTGATTTCAGACTAACACAGCTAACTTTCTCTGTTAATTGCCTGCCAGCCAGCCAGTGAGCCCTGAATTTTACAATCTAAGTTTCCTGCCTGGAAATGCCCTGACTTCTGTGTATTTGTGGATTTAATTAAAAATATGACAGTATACAATAACATAAAATTTCTGAGACTGTCAAAACTTAGTACTGACAGAGAATAGTGAAAATATCAGGAATCCAGGACCATGTCTCTAATGTTAATCATCAATACATGTACTAGTGATTAACCCTGAGTTGGGAATGGGAGCTGGATCATTCTATAATAGCTCTGTACCTAGGGGTCTACCAAACTTGAGGCAGCTGCTGGCCAATTTCAAGCAGGCATCTTCATGGGCAGAGCGTGAGAGGCTCACCCTACACCTCTGATAGGCTGAGGGGCCTTGGTGCTCCTTCTCACTACTTGGCTAGGAGTGTTGACTGTCATGCAGCCCCTTTCTTTGCTGTGATTTAAGTATGTCCCTATCTGTAACCATCAAGAAGCATAGAGCTTATGAAGGGATACTCATATGGTGAATGAAATTTGCATGTAAGAAAAGAAAAAGCATTATATCCCTTTCTCTCATTCCGTAATTGTTTTAATAATCCAAAGCAGATTGCAGCTAATATGGTTGCAAATCAGATACATTTTATCCTTAAAGGAAGTGATGTGAAAATAGAATTAATGACCATATTTTTAAATAAAATATATTTTTATTTCTTCACTTCATAGGGTTCATCCTCAGCTTATTAACCTTTATGGAGTGAGTGTCGATGACCTAGATGATTCCAAAGCAACATGCGGTTGTCTATAGAAGAAAAGTAGTATTCTTATGCTGCAGTTTCTGCATAAAGGAATCATGTTCTAATATACAGAATAATTTTGGGGACATAGACCTTCACTTACTGAATTCTTGGGTGCAGGATCAGTGTCTTAATTAGAACATTGTTAATAATTAATATTTTATATGAGTCTTGCTTATGTGGAGGTGTTTAATAAATTGTATATTATTAATGTAAAATAACATGTTTATTTTAAATTTTACAAACTGCAAATTAATAGTCAGTATATTTTTGTATACTTTATATGTGTTTTTTAATGTGATTACCAGAATTCTTGTAAAAATTAAAGCTGTTAAACAAAAAATATTGTAGTGATTAAATAGGGGAGTTAATCATTGCAGGTTTCCAGTTTACTTTGCAGCCTGATCACACCACATTTGTTTGAGTTCAGAAGCAGTTCATATTAGAAATAATCTTGTTCAAATCAGTAGAACTAGTGATTGAGTAAAATGCTACTTGCTCTCTAGCAGGGTGGTATATTCTGGATTTTTATGATGCATTATAATTTCCAGATAATCTACAATCTTTAAATGAGATAATGTAAAAATGTTGTTGCTGTTATCATATTTTTCATTGGGAAGCAATAAAAAGGCATATGCTGATGCCATAAACTAATTAACTGTATACAAATAGTATTCCTTTAAAGAGGAATGAAGGCTACAATTTAATATCTCTATAAGAGCACATTAAAAGCTTATCAGGTTTGAGATGTACCCTATATAATGCACTATTTTCGGTGGAATAAGGCAGTACTGCTGAATAAGGTTTCTAACTAGATTTTAAATATTTTCAGTCTGCATAAACTTTGTCTGCTTCTGTACAGGGTAATTTAATACATTAAATGATAAACACTAATATTTTGCAAGACAGGGATAAATTAGGATTCCTGTTTTTAGGGGAACTGACTTTTCATGTACTGTGGCTATGACTGGAAGATTTGCCCCTCTTCTCTTCTGCAGGAGGAATATAACATTGGATATTTGCATTAAAAAAAATTAGGTAACTTGACTGTTGGATTACTACAGAACATTATGCTGCATTGCCTCATGACTAAAACACATGCTTGTATTTGTCCCTAAAGTCTTGATTTTAAAGCAAGAGTTAATTATTGGCTGTTTAAATTGTGCATGGTTCTTTGTTGAATCAGGATCCAAGGCTTTAAATGGAATTACTGAGGATTTAGGAACTGAGAACAAATTTATTGATATTTTAATATACATTAAATTTTATCCCATAAAGCTGTTTGTTATAAAAAATTTGCTAATTTTCTTTCTTTAAATTCTATATTTCATAAGTACTGTAGTACTAACAAATTAATGTAGATAAGTATATCCCTTGAAAATGACAAGGAACAGGTTAGTGTCTGTTTCTGTCCTTATTCATTCATATATCACTCACATTAAGTTTACTGGAACAGCAGGAAAGGTACTTGTGGACAGGACTTCTTTAGAAGTTGCCAGATAACTTGCAGTATGGGCAGTTACAAGTAGAGACTATGGTTAAAGTTCTGCTTTCCATTTACACCAGCATAAATTCAAAGCAACTCTATACTCTTCAAAAGAACTACTCTAGATATGTGCCATTATAACTGAAAACAATTGAGTACTATAAGTTAACTCCTTAAAACACAGTACTGGGTTTAGCTAATACATTTAGTTGTACTCCTTATTAGACAATCAAATGTAATTTGTAACAGCACAGATTCAGCCGCAGTTTATTACATGACTGCAAATTATTGTCAGCAAAATAATTGAGAGAGAAGATTCCCTATATATTAGTTTATTTTTTAAAATAAAAAGTATATCATTGTAAATCATGATATTAGGCATTTTACATTTTAATATTTTATTCAATTCATGAATTTTGCTTGCGTGTCAGAAATATCCAACTGAAGGGACAGCGGGGAAGTAACGAAAGACTTGTGGCAGAACAAAAGTCCAGGGAAAGAAAAGGAGGAGAACAGAGGTTCCAGAGCAGCTGCTCCGTGACGCTAGAGTGAGCCGTGGGAGAGAGGGGTGGGGTCGGAGAGAACCGGGAACAGGAGGAGACGGGCGGAGCTGGCAGGAGAGAAATGCAGATGAAAAGCGGGGAGAGAGAGAGTGGTAAAAAAGGGCTCCCAGGGGGTGAAGAGGACCAGCAAGGCTGGCTGGTCAGAGAGACTCCAGCGAGAGAGACTGGGGAGGTAACTTTTCTAGAGGAAGCAGACCAGGACCAGGGAACCATCCTCCCATGCTGAGGATATTAAGACTGGGCAGTTGTTGTCGGGGGGGCATGTCCAGTACCTGGTTTGGCGAGACTGTAATTTAAAAAGAAGAGAGAGGGAGATTGAAGAGAGAAATCGCTGCAAGTCCCAAAGAAGAGGGACCACACCTGGGGAATAAAATGAGCAACGGAGAAAATGAGACTCAGGGCAAAGAGAACTGGACTGATTCAAAGCCACTGATAAGCAGTACTCACGCAAGTTGAATTTTATATCTGAACTGGATCTTGTTTAAGTTGGTATATCTGTGTAACTGATGTAAAGATGCAATGATAATCCTGCTAGCAGCAGGGCTACATGTAAGTTAGAAAAACTGATAAATAAAGACATTGTAAACTTGACTTGAAAGGCATCAGGCTATCATTGCAAGTTGAAGATTGACCCATTGTACATCTTGCAAGGAAAACTAAAAAGGGAGAGTACAGGAGCATTCTTTGGGCGGCTCTTCCTCATGACAGATTGCCAGCTACTATGATGGTAGATAATAATAAACACCTCCTGACTTATAACCCCGTAGATCAACAAAGATGTGGCAGGAGAGAGTTGGTAAATACCGTTATATGATCAGGTGGTGCAATCTGATATATGGAAGACTAGGAGAACACACTGGGTCAGATGTGACCCCCCCCCCCC